TTGATTTTGGTTCTTTAAACTTCTCTTTCTGAGAATCACATCCAATCCATGCAACTACAACATTTTTTTTATTCATTCTTTTCCTTTTGACTCACTCTTTGAATTTTTTGCTTTGAAATTTGTTTTTCATTCTCTCTGATCAAACCACTTCAATCTACTACTTTATTGCTGGTCACTTATTTTTTGTATATAAACCATTTTCACTTTGAATTCATTCATTCTTGACCTATTTCTTCTCATTTTACCATATGCAATACGCTTAAGTAGCTCATTTGCACTTTATTCAATTCGGTAATGATTGATAATTATTCTCAGAATCTTGTGTCCTTCAGATTCTTTTCTCTCCTGTCTTCTGTGCATCTATTTTTCCCTTTTCTGATGTTCTTTGACTACATTGATTGATTAATCCTTTGATGACAAATATGTTTACAGTATTTGTGAAACACGCTTATCTTTGCAATCATCTGAACAAGCAACCAAATACACTTTGATTGATTCAGTACTGTTGTTCTAGTTATGATCTTAATATCTTCTTTTTTGTTTATGTATTTGTCAGCAAATAATTTTACTGACATATTTTATATGGCTAATTTTACTGAACTGATATTAATTCTGGTTGTTCACATTTGTTTACTTGTTTAGACTTTTTTTGGGGGGGGCTGCCCATCTAAGAAACTTTGATGGTGAATGCCATAAAAATTGAGACACTCATTGAAAGAAAAAAGTCAACTAAAACTACTTTGAGATTCAATACAAAATATGAAACCATTAGATAAATCTATTGCAGACCCTCCATCCCATCTCCATTGCTTAGGAAAATCCAGGTTTTCATGGCTTTGCTAAAGGCCAATCATTTTGCTGGTGGCTAAGAAAAATAACTGCAGCTAAATTTGCCCACAGCATTTGACGCTCTTGATCATTTATTCTCTAAGTTAATTAGCCAACTGTGATAAGATTTCCAAGTTGGTTTTAATCTATATTTCTTATTACATATTTTCAGTGAAGTGGAAGGGTCTCTACTCTCAGTTCTTTAGGTTACAAGTTGTCCTTGATTTACAACAGTTCATTTAGTGACCATTCGAGGTTACAACCACACTGAAAAAAAGTGACTGATGACCATTTTTCACACTTACAACCGCCGCAACATCCCGTTGGTCACGTGATCAAAGTTCAGATGCTTGGCAACTGACTCATATTTATGACGGTTGCAGTGTCTCGGGACCATGTGATCCCCTTTTGCAACCTTCTGACAAGCAAAGTCAATGGGGGAAGCCAGATTCACTTAACAACCATGTTACTAACTTAACAACTTCAGTGATTCACTTAACAACCGTGGCAGGAAAAGCCATAAAATGAAGCAAAATTCACTTAACAAATGTTTCGCTTAGCAACAGAATGGGCTCAGTTATGGTCGTAAATTGAGGAGTACCTGTATTTGATGGATTATTTGTTTGCTTAGTTTTTATGGCACTCATCTCCCCTACAAAATGACTCTGGGCAGCTTCCGTTGTTGTTTCTCAGAGTCTGATATTAAGTCTATTCTTGTATATTTGAACACCTTGTTGTTGGGTTGTTTTTTTATTTCTTTCATTTTTCAGATCTATGTTGATATTCAGGTTTATTTTGCCATTGTCTTGGATGACGCAGCAGAGCCTTCACACTTTTAAATAGCAAACTTGGAATTCCACTTTATTGAGTTCAAAGCTTAGAGTTGATTTCTCTCTTTTCCCTTCCTTTATGTCTTTTCCCTTCCGCATTATCAGTTGCAAGTATTTTGTGCGGTATGTAATTTTGCAGTTTGTACTTATGAGAAACTTACTTTAAAACTTTTGATCAATAAAGCTGCAATAATGTGGATATATTTTTTTTAACTTTTAAATACTTAAGAGTATCCTGCTCATCTCTTAATTTGGAAATAGCTAAGCAGTTAGTTCTCATCTTGGTAATGTCCCACCTAGATGGCTGCAGGAGTTGAGCATGGCTTCCTAATTTTTCTCTCTTTCTCCTGCTCTATGCTCAAATGTTGCAGTTCTAGATTTCTCCTAGCCTATCCCCATCTTTCCTTTTGTTTTTGTCAGTCCCTTCCTTGGTGGGAGCTTTCGGTAATTAATCAGTTTACATTGCTGGTAAAAGACTGGCTTTCTGAGTCATACATATAAGAACATTCAGTTATTAGAATAACTTGATTACGGTTTATATTCCTGTATACATAGCTTGATAATGTAACCGTGGTCTGTTAGATTTTCTGGAATGAAGTGTCTTTATGTCTGGAGGTTCTTATAAAGCAGTGGTTCTCAACCTGTGGGTCGGGACCCCATTTGGGGTCGAATGACCATTTCACGGGGGTCGCCAAACAAGGCTGTCTGCCATTTTTCCCCCTTTGGCCACACCCCTGGCACCCGGTGATGTATAAGTGGTTGGGGGTCACCACAACATGGGGAACTGTATTATGGGGTCGCGGCATTAGAAAGGTTGAGAACCACTGTTATAAAGCTTTTTGCAGAACCATTCTTGACCCAGAGAAATGTTTTCTCTCCTTATTCACCACTGATGTGTACTTAAATGATGTTAATATTAGGAAATGTTTCTATTGGTTATTGTCCTGTAGTAAGAAATTATCATGCTGTTTTGTTGTAGTGTTGTTTTTTTTTCTGATATATATTTTTATTTACCACTACTGCATGGACACATTCTAAATTAATCTTCATCTCTTCCTCTTCGTCTGACATTCCCAATTCTCACTTTCCTCAACTTTTCTCTTTGCTCTTTCCCAAGAGAGAAAGGATAATTGTTGAAGCATGGCGGTGGGGATGAATGCTCAGTTTGAAAAATGTTTGGAAACACTAAGCTTAGAAAATGCTTAACTTAGTAAAAAATGGGTCCTATTATCCTTGGTGTTGGAAAGCTTTTAGCAATTCATATACGTAAGCCATAAGTTATCGTTGATGTAATTAATACTCAATGATTTGCACTCTGAACTTAAAAGAAATGAATTCTTTCATAAAGTTTATGGTAAGTGTCAGTGGCCAATCAACTACAACCAGAAATAAAATACGGGTTAACTGATTACTATTTCGTTACTTGTATATACTTAACCCCTCCCCTGAAAGCCATTATGTTGTCACCTTCTTTTATCAAGCATTTTGGCAACATCTGTCACAGTCACTATAGTTAACAGTAGATTTTCAGATTAATATGTAGATTTTGCTTGACTTTTGTTAGAAAGCATGACAGCTAAAGTCTTGAATATGCTATGAAGGCATAATATTTTGCTCCATTTCAAATCCTCCAGTTGTCAGAATTCTGCTAAAAGGGCAAAGTGAATCAAAAGATTAGAGAGGTGGAGAAGAAATGCAGAAAGTCTTATCAATGGAGCTAAATGTTGAAACAATAAATATTTTTCTGGACGTACAATTGGTGACTGCAATCCTTGCACCCAAGAAGCATTCAACATATACCTTAAACACAACATTACTGCTACTTTTTGCAGTAAGCTGCTATTTCCAATCATAGATTATCAAGGACAGTAGTTAGCAAATGTTAGCTTAATGTAGGATTTGGTTCTGGTTTTGGACCATGCTGAACAAATTTGGAAGACAAGCAGTGCAGAGCACAGGGCCAGGGAGACAGAGTGAATAGAGGCATAACCCTCAAGATTGGTTTCATACATGTTTTTTCCATCCTGGAGGAGAAATGTCATATACTACTAGTTAGGTTGTTGTCCTCTTGTTTTGTTTGATTTTATAAATTTTTGTTAAAGTTTATGTTAACATAACATATAAACAGAAATAAAAATAATAGGAAAATGGAGGAAAGAAAGGAAAGAAATGTGAGTTAGAGGGAAATAAATAAAAAAATAGTGATTTCCAACTTTTTTTAATGTAGTTGCAACCTCAACATTTTTATTTTAGTAATAAGGTAAAAGTAAAAAAAATAAAATGGAGGTTGCAGCTACACTACAAGTAGTCCTTGTCTTATAACCCAAAATTTCTGTTGCTAAGTGAGACATTAAGTTAAGTGAGTTTTGCCCCATTTTACGGCCTCTCTTGCCACAGTTGTTAAGTGAATCACTGTACTTGTTAAGTTATTAACACGGGTGTTAAGTAAATCTTGTTTCCCCATTGACTTTGCTCGTTAGAAGGATCACATGACCCTGGGACACTGCAACCGTCATAAATGTGAGTCAATTGCCAAACACCTGAATTTTGACCACATGACCGTGGGATGCCGCAACAGTCATAAGTGTGAAAAATGGTCATGTCACTTTTTTCAGGGTCATTGTAACTTTGAATGGTCACTAAATGAACTGTTGTAAGTCAAGGACTACTTGTAATTAACAATACTAGCCATTTCTATAACAACACTATAATCAGCAAAACCCATATCAAAGTTTTATCCCCCCCCTTTTGAATACAAAGTTTAGAAGGCCTGTGAAGTGCCTGATCTGAAAAAAATGAAGCTTTTCTTGAGTCGTTTATGGACGTCTGAGATTGCCCATCTCTAGTTATTCCTTTCAATCTATATGTTTCTATATTCTTAGTTTGTGTAAATTAAGATGCCAAGGAGCATAAAGGCTTCTTGGGCTTGAAAATGTCAGTTTAAATGTGGTGATACACCTGCTATTTTCAGGAGCACAGATTGTGGAAGCAATCATGCTGCCGGCAGCTTTCTGAATCCGCAAGTGTGAACGACACTGTAGGATTTGTTACTGCTGTTGAGGCAGTGGTAGAACAGAGAAGTTGCTGATAGAGCTTTATGGGGGAAAGATTATATTTAAAACTAATAGCTTCGGGGCTACAGCAGTCTGCTGCCTTGAAAAATGCTGGAGTTGAGAACTTCTCACTTTCCTCTCACGTTGCCAAGTATTTCATTTTTGAAAAGCTTGTAGTTGGCTGCTCATACATAACTATAATCTTCACATCAGATGCTAACCCATATGCAAGGCATAGTCTCTAAATGGAGATTTCTTTCTCTCTCCCTTTCTCTCTCTCCATCTTTAGAATGAGAAAAGTGTTCCTTGAAAATGGATCTGCCTTCTCATGTCTCACCAGTAAGCGTTATAGAAACAATTGCTTTCCAACTAGCGTGCAGTCCGGTAGACAAGAAAGTCGCTCTGCACTTAGATGAAGAAGATGAGCTAAAACACTTTCGCGAATGTTTCCACATTCCCAAAGTGACGGATCTGCCTTCAAGTAAGAAGTGCAAGTATACTAAGGTGGCTTTGCGGGGTTTTTTTTTTCCTTTTTGTATGCCTCTGTTGTAAATTGCGGGAATTGTTGCCGCTTAACACAGCAATGGAGCGCTGGCAGCCACCTCTCTGAACCCAGCGTGTTTCTTGCATTGCTAAATCAAGGCCTCAAGTTGAATACTCTGTGTTCTCACTCCTGTCCTGAACAAACCAATGAATACAATGCAGCCCTTGTGTAGTGCTTATGCTGTCACTCAGCCTCCCTGAACAATATAGCGCCTGATTGAAAATTGTAGGCAAGAGCATATCTTAATAGGTTTTTGCTGCTTGCGTTTAGTACTTATTGCACAAAAGAAAAGAAAAAAAGCCTCATGCCTACAGGCTTTGCTTTGGTGTTGTTGTTGTTGTTGTTGTTAATTGTTAGAATCCATCAAAATCTTCCATATAAATGTCTGGAATGAGAGCAGTCTGAGAGGAATAATTATTCTAGGATAATTGGCCTTAATGGTTAATTAAATAATTGTACAGATTGATTAATTAAAACAATGCTCTTGATTAATTTTATAAGATCCCCACAGTACTTAACTGTGTTAGAAGTATATATTTCAAGTACACATATATTGTACAACTCCTTTCTATTGTCCGGCTGAAAAAGTTTCTTTTAATATGTTTGCTGTAACTGTGGTAACATATCTAAAATTCAGGAGTAATTGTATTAAAATGCAAAGAGAGAGAGAGAAAAAAAAATATTGATTAGTAAAACACTTGATTAAAATCAATACAACCAATAAGAATAAAATTTCTTAAATCTGGTGACAGGCCTGTTTGTTACTCTTAGGACTTAAACCTTAGTAATGGCTTCCATTCCATTCATTTGAAAAATATCTGGAATGGGGAGAGGGGAGTCAGGGGAGGAAGATTCTCAAATAATTTTTCTAAACCAGTGTTTCTCAACCTTGGCAATGTTAAGACATGTGGACTTCAACTTCCAGAATCCCCCAACCAGCAGCCTTGGGAGTTGAAATCCACATGTCTTAACATTGCCAAGGTTGAAAAACACTGATCTAAACCAATCTGAGCCCAAGAAAATGAACCACCTCTCATCAATATTCAGTAATTGGAGAAATATAATTCCATTATTTGAGAATTCAGAGATACATCTGAATAGATTCTGAGTAGGGGTAGGAAGATTACCATTACATGGCTTTATATGACTTAGTATATTTTAAACATAGTAAATGTTTTTCATATATTATTTCATTCCGTCACTTTGTGATTTATGCTTTTTTAAGAAAAAAAAAACTTTTGCAAAATTTACATTTGCTACCATTCACAACTTTTTTCATCATATGCAAAGTATTGCGAAGAACACTTCCTAAATTATACTTTAACAATATATACCAGGGGTCTTCAAACTTGGCCCTTTTATGACTGGTGGACTTCAACTCCCAGAATTCCTCAGCCAGCGTGCCAGGCTGAGGAATTCTGGGAGTTGAAGTCCACAAGTCATAAAAGAGCCACATTTGAAGACCCCTGATATATACTAACCTACTATGCACATTCCCACTTTTGGGTAGATCTTTCCCAAATAGATCATACTTTATGGTGGTGGCAGTCGTAGATAGATTATCTTCTTTCAACCTATTATTTCTATGCAGGGTGTTAAACTCCCCTAGTTTTGAGCAAGGGATATGCATTTTCCCCCAAGCTTTTTTTGTGTGGCAGGGATCAAACGAGGTGCCTCCAATGGCACTTTGGAGTAGAATTCCTGGTCCTGTATGATTTGTTGGGAATCTCTGAAGCTGTGTGAGTCCTGGTTAAATCTTACAGAGAAGAAAGATCTCATGTGACCTGGAACACATTTATGAAAGAGACACAGTCAGTTCACATATATCTATATCTATGTCTATCTATTTGTATATCTTTTGAGAAGGAATTGGGTTTACAGTCTTTTGAGGTAAGCTTTAAGAAGTCTGATTTTGACAAGTCTTGCAGAGGAAAATAGGAGAGTCTGTTTTGAAATGTGATGAATTTTAACAATGGCAAATGCTTTAAAATATTTGTTCCTCAGGGCAAAAGCTCAGTTTAGCCAATGAATTTGTCACAGTAGCCCCTTCCTTGTTTTTATTCAACTGCATAGTTTTTCCATTTATAAACTTTTCAGATTAACATGTTCTTAGTTGTAATTGGAGGTAAAGATCTTACTTTCATTTTGGCTGTGAAAAATCTTCGACTAATTCTGATTAATGCTTTTGGCAATTTAGTTGGGAACGGATAATTGTTGCAGATGTAAAATGCACCTATAAAATGTAAAGTCACATAGTATTCTCTGCTATCCTAATTCAAGGTCCATATCTGGTTTTGTTTATTTTGTTTGTTGTTTCCTGGTTAATTGATTGATCTAAAAAGCTCTTAAATACACATCTATAAAGCATTCCTCATACTTCTATGGAGATTCTCAGTTATCCAGCTCATGGTTGTCAAGGTGCTTTTTCAGGAGACAACTGGACTTTCTTGTTTTTCTTTGAAGATGTTTCGCTATAAATCCTTCCATTTCCCACCATCTAGTCAGAACTGAAGAAGCTTCTTGGATGAGAAGCGAAACGTCTTGAAAGAAGAACAAAGTCCAGTTGCAAGAAACCTCCAAATGGCTTAAATGACTCTCTAAAACGGGTCTTCAAATTTGGCTCTTTTGTGACTTGTGGACTTCAACTCTCAGAATTCCTCAGCCAGCGTGTCTGGCTGAGGAATTCTGAGAGTTGAAGTCCACAAGTCATAAATGGGCCAAGTTTGAAGACCCCTGCTCTAAAAGAATGTAAATGACCAGCTGTCCGCAAAGAACATAAATCCTTCCATTCCCCACCATCCGGTCAGAGCTGAAGAAGCTTCTTGGATGAGAAGCAAAATGTCTTCAAAGAAAATCAAGAAAGTCCAGTTGCCTCCTGAAAAAGCACCTTTGGGACATTCCTTATACTCACTTTACCGTGGCAGTTTCAAAATTATACAAGCAGCTTAGCTAAGTCAGGAGTGACATTATTTATTTTTCCATGTCCCTGTCAGCAATCACCCTACTAGACTTTACAAACAGATAATTACTTATTAACAGAATACAGATTGTGATAGTAAATATTGAAGAAGAGAAAAGGCAAGAGCAAACATAGTTGCTTCTCGGTTACATGTATAGCCCTTCTCTTGCTCAGCATACAAATAATGCTGTTATGGTGAAAGTTCCAGAGCAAAGCCAATTTTCCCTATAATTCAGCATTGCTTTGCAGATGCATTATTGCAGAAATTTCTCATACTTGCTTGCATGAACACAGTATATGTAACATGGACACAGAGCACTAACAATACTTGCATGATAAGAAAAAAAAAGTCAGAAACATCTTTTTTTAAAAAAAATTGTAGATAATGATATAGTTCTTCTGTGGTTCTGAGATTGTTTATATTGGGAGTCTCAAAAATATAATTGCAAATGCCGTAAGCATGGCTCATTAACTTGAGGGTTACAGTACTGAAGCTTTACATTTGTTAATACAAAAGAGTCTAGTGAGTAAAAAAAATAAGACTGTTGTTGAAAGAAAAATCTTCATCAGGGTCCAGTCCAAGCCATGAATAAACAAAATGGAGACTGCTTTAGAAAGAAGGTTGTAGTCTATTGAAGAGCAGAACCAGACAGAAATGAGGCTCTGGGAAAGCTGACCACATGTTGTGGGGAGGAGTGGTTTTTTATACCTTCTTGAGCTTTTGTGTTTGAAGTTGTTCCTGTGAGGTTCAGTGTGCCTTTCTGGTATTCTAATGGTGGTGGGTTATCCTATTATGTCCCAAAGGTCGTATCCTGCTTCCCTGGGGCTGTGGCTGATGACTATGTCCTATATTGGATTTTTTGGGTGTGAGGGGTTGTTGATTCTAGGGATCTTTGTCTTTCTAATCCCATGAGCTCCAGACTTCCTGGCTCCAATATTTCTGACAGGATTATCACATCTGCATTTCTACAGGCCTAGTTTCTGCTTGGGGCAGTCATCAATATGAGAGATCACCAGTAAATTGAAAGGGGGGTTCCTGCTTAAGATTTTCCATTATTCCTTTGGGGAAATATAATATTCTGCCTTTTTAATATTCCCCAAATATTTCTTTCTTGGGGGGGGCTGTCTTCCCACATTGTCATAGTATGCCATTACACATAATTGCAAACAATTCTACCTAACACACCTGCATTACTTTCTTATGGTTTACTGTGTATGTGCCAAAAGAAGATGTTTTTTGCCTAGTTGATTGATATGGTTGATTTCTTCCAAACATGCCTGCTACTTTTGTCTGCTCTTTTTTTCTTTTTCTATGATCTGTACTTTTGTTCTCTTCTCTAAAGTAAATCGAGAAATGAGGACTTCATTGTTAAAATGAGTAGCACTATAACTGACAAATCTAGCTAAGCAGAGCAGTCATCAATATGAGAGATCACCAGTAAATTGAAAGGATTGTAAGACAGACTGAAAAATTTAAAAAAATCCCCAAAGGAGGCAATACCAAGCCATTTCTATATTATTATTATGTCTTTAAAGTGATTAAAATGAGGCCATCATTTAAAGAAACCAATAGACTGTTGCTATTAGTCCAAAAAAAGTTAAACAATTTGGCTGACTGGACATCTCATATGGTTTTGTCTTGGTTCACTTTTTGGCATTTAACTAAATCCCAGTCTAAGGTTCCCAGTCATTGATTAGCTTCATGAAGCTCAAATGATTATAGGAAAGGATGATGAATATTAATGAAAGATAAAGATAATAGATACATTATCCATAGAATTAATTAATAAGGATTATAAATGTAAATGAATAGTAAATATATTTAAGATAGGAAAGAGGGGAGTGAACTTTGTAGGCTTGCCATAGTATAAACTGGTTACCTAATGTGACTATTAAAATTTGCAAAACAATTTATCTTACGATTTTCTTCCAAGATTCCACGCCATGAAAAATACTTTAGAATTTAGACTGAATCAAC